TGTGTTTTATGTTTCCATGTGGCCTTGCCAGAGGTCCCTCCCTTAAACAGACCAGGCTTCCACAATTAGTCAGGACTCAAAACAGGTTAGTTATGGAATATATTAAGTCCTAAAGGCTTCATGGGGCTATTTACACTTCTTTGGACTATTTCCAGGACTCCAGATTATACTGTAAGTGTAAATTAAGGAAGTCTCACAATGCTATAGCTCTGACTGGAGCATGCAATGTGAGCATATATTAGGCACCATTTTCCTATGTTTTTCTTGGCCTCATTTTAACAATTTACCACCCTGAAAGATAAACTCTCTGTAATCTTCAAGTCATACTTTAGAAAGCCTCTCTCTCATTCCCATTCTTGAATGTGCCTGTTTCTATTATTCCTCAGGTACAGAAACTGAAGAGTGATCTTTTTTCTTTTCCTTTGGCATTGAAATCTTTCAGGAATTTATTTGCATTCACCTGGCCAAGTTATAAATACCATCCAACACCTATATCATGCCATTTCATTACTTAAAATAATAAATTGGTTTCACTTAATAAAATACAAGACCATATGAAGTCAGTCTGTGTACCCAACAGTTGGGAACATTTAGCAGCTGTTGGTAGGGAAAAGGATATGCTGAAAAGGTCAGTCCCCTGGCCAGTACTCAAGATCAGTTATTGATCACAGATTTGAGAAAACTCAAAATGTAATGTAAGTGGTTCTTATTTTTCATCCGTGGCTTCCCTTGTTTTACCTGAAGAATCTGAGCTTGAAAAAAAAAAAAAGAATCTGAGCTTGGCTTTAATGTTTTCTCCCCTCACCCCCTCTGCTCTCAGCCCCTGTGAGGACTGTTTCCTTGGGGCCTCTGGTCTTCACTGAGTCATGTTTCCAACCTTGTACCTAACAACACAGTACCTGACACACAGGCCCTTAATAAACACTTATGGAATGAATTTTGAAACCCTAACAAGAAGACTATGATGTCAGAAGAAATAACACAAGTCCAAGAACCAAGAAATTAGCTGAGCACAATTTGATAATAATGATGGCAATTATATTTGAGTTTTGATGGCTATATATGTGCCCAACACTTTACTAGGAGCTTTAAAAATATAATCTCATTTTATGTTAACTTAATCATTGCAAGACTGGACAAGCACCATTGCCCCTCTTTTACATATAAATAAATAGCGACTTTGAGAAGTAAAATAATATGTCCGTAGCCACATAGTTATTAAGTGAATATTAACTGGGATAAATATGAGTGTCTGTTCAATACCACAATCAAGCCTTTTTTAACCCTTTTGATCTAGTCCTCAATTTTTAAATTTATTAAACATGAAAATTTTAATAGTCATTAAGATCTTTTCCAGCTTTAAGATGTTCCAGATATCAGGTAACACACATCTCAAGAAAACTGACAATTCAATGGGTTTGCCTTGTTGTTTAAAATCCTGAAAAAAAACAAAGAAAATTGCTCTCCAAAACGGAAATTTCAGAAACTCTGAAAAGAAAGAAAAGAGCAACTTTTGGACAGTTTGCACCCCTCTAGGTTTTTCAGATCCACCTAAAGCTAGAGTTAGCCTTGGCTTTTTACAAGAGTTATTATTTTCTGATAACTTACTATGTGCCATACACTAGGCCAAAACTTTATATGTATTATTTTATGGAAATCTCTAACAATCTCTATGAGATTGTACCATTGTTATTCACAATTAACAGAAGGAGTATGAGTTTAACTTGCAGAAGGTCACACAGCTAGCATGTGGTGCAGCTTAGACTCAAACCCAGATATGTTTATCTCTGAAACCCAAATTTTAACTTTGAAGGTATATTGCTTCTGCATGTTATTTTTACTTTATTTATCTAATATATCTAATATTACTTCTGTCAATGTTATTTAATTCTTTTGGTCACTTATTTTGAAATAATCTCCATGGGACGTAGATCAGCAGTCTGCTTAGTTTGTTTGCTAACACATCCTCCAGTACTACATCTGTGGTGACACTTATCAAGTATCTCATGATACATGCCTTTCAGTGCAATTAAATACCTCTGGGTCACTCTCGGTCACATGCCTATGAGCTACAAATTCTCTCCACCCCACAACTAGATATTTCTTTCTATCCAAAGGGGATAGGTTAATAAAAATAAAGAAAAACCAAAAACAAAAAATCAGACAACCACATCAATGTGGAGGTTTGCAAACTCTGACCTGAAAAAATCTTCCATAGAGAAAACATCATCCCTAGGGTGACTGACACAACAGAAATCCTACCTCACTAAATGTATTCCCACAGTTCATTCTGTACCTGTTAGAAGGGATTCTTGACGCTTTTAGAAGATACAATCTCTGAGACCCTGATAGCAAATTAACTTTGGAATCGAGAGGAATTCACGTTAGTTGCTACTGTCTACGTTAAGACAGACTTATTTTCAGTCTAACTCTGACTTATATTACATACTATTATTAATATACTTGTATATATGAAGTAAAAATTCACATATATTTCTCTTCTGCATTTATCTTCTCAAAGAAGTGACCTCTAAATTAAATTACAAAATTCTGTAACTTTTGAAGGGAGGAAGATATTTTAGAAGCTGTAACTTTTTTGATCAAATCAGTGTTAGCGAATTTTTGCTTTAGCCTAGTACACATTTTGTAAAGGAACACTAATAAGATGTGCTATTTTTCCCTAACCAAATTCTTCACAATGAAATCCAACTGCAATATTCATTTAGAAATTTGATAATGCTCTCTTGTGTGAGTTTTAGGAATATTTGAAACCCCATTGCATATAAATTATATCATGGAAAAGCTGTATAAATATTCTATTATGGCACATGCTGTTCTAAGGATCTGTCAGGATTTCCTTTATACACTCCATTTTGAGTGGTATATAAATCAGATGTAAAAATTCATGTTGGACTGAAACTTAGCACAAAAGGCCTTCTCCAGAGGCAAATGCATTTTTTTTTTTCAAAATGTGGTTTGAATTATGTTGGTCATTTTTAAGTTATAGAAGTGCAGAAAATGTATTTGTGGTTTTGAAGGAGAGAGATTTTTTCCATTTTTATAACTCATTAGGAAACTTTACAGGCCTTTAGACCATTTTGTGGTTTAGTTCTTCTCAAGTTTTTCCCCAAAGCAATATTAAAACTTGAATGGTGTCCTCTATGAACCTAAAAATTACTGTTCTGAATATAAATGTGGGTATGGATATATATCCAGTTATACTTATCTTAGACTAGGAGAAGTTTCAATAATATCAAGACTGGGGTAGATTAGGTCTAGCAGTTATCCACTTTTGTTCTTATTTTCAAGTCAAGTTTGGTCTATCAAAGGAATCCTCTGTCTTTACCATAGTTCAGCTTGTAATGCTTATAATTTTAAACTGTGTTTCTAACTTGCAGAAAAATCCAGAGATAAATACTCCTTCTTTTATGAGATCTTTGACAATACGGCTTTGCCTTTTTTAAATTTTGCTTTTCTCTAATATATAGACCAAGCTGCAGCCTGTACATTATTCACTGATGATGATCTTATTTGTAAAGTATTTAATATGTGTATGTTTATGACAAATTAGTTTATTAAATCGTGTTGAACATATTTTGTCTACATAGCTAACACATTGCTGAGTAATCTAATAAACATAAATTATTTTAGCACACAGATTATGATTTTATTATTTCTCAATAGCATCAGTTAAAACCTAAGAAAGTTTATTTGGACTAAGAAAGACAGCATAACTCACAAAGTCGGGTAAACCAATCTTTAAACTACTTTAAAGGATAATGAAAACAGAAATATTTTATATGATTGAATTGCTTCACTTACATTATATTTAGTTCATTAATGTATTAGAATAGCACATTTAGTGGTTATTATTTATTATCACATAATAGATCAAGGCATTAAAGTATGAGAGATTAAAAATTTTCCAATGTAATTCTTTATGTTTTAAGTCCACTTAGAATCTGGATGTCTTCATTCCTAATACAGTTCCCTTTTCGTCATATTGCACTATTTCTGGGGCAGTTACTAGAATCTTTGGGTTTAATGACAGGATGGACCATCCAGAAAATAATCAAGCTTTTGCCTGTAGCTGGTACAGCAATGTGATTTTCCTTTGGGACACTCTGAGGATCATGAGACATCCATCTCCTGCTGGATGTTGTATCTACTTACCTACTGTCATGGAAATGAGCCAACTCTACAACAGACAGAACTGAACACCCATTTATTTTTATTTTATTTTTTTACATTAACAAGAGAGCAAGGTTACTAATGAAGGGTCATATCCCAAATCTCTAATCTATAAAGCTAATATCCTTATCTCTACTTGGGTCATTTTTTTTATTCTGCTCCATTTACTTTTACTAAATTATACTACTTTGTGTTCTATAATGTTACATTTGGTTATAATTATAATTTTTATAGATAATTCATATAGCACTCATATACTACTTTATCTTAGCTTATCACTAAAGTCATCATAGCTCTTAAAATGTAACTAAATGTGTGTCACTCCAGACATCCCTATACAACTAAATGTCATTGAAAAGTTTGAGGGGAAGTCTATGAATTTCTGAGCACTAGGTACATATTGAAACACAGTTTTATGCTCATCAGAAATGTTTTTAATTACAGCAAAAGGATTTAAAACACTAAACATAAATATACTTTAAATGGCAAAATAAACAGTTTTACATGTTAAGAATCTAGATTCCATGGTTTAAATTGTAGCAATTTATAGCTCATTAGGTAGGAAATATACATATTTCACTCCCCCTGCTATCAGTTACATTATACCCATATTTTCCTTACATCTGGAGGAGAGATGACACAGTGCTATTATTCAAATATCACTGACATTGTTAAAGCCTAACACCATTGCTTTATGCATAACAAGACTATATTTTTAAATAGCATGGCTATTTCTTAGTAGTGAAATAAAGAATGACTTTTAAAAACTTTAAAATTATGAAAAGTAATGATGTAAGATATATCCTCACCTTGATTTTACCTTTAAGCAGCCTTTTATTTGTCTATTAGGAACGTCTTCCTGTAGTTTTTCAGGCTCCGGCTCTTGTTGTTTCTTTTGACAAACCAATACATAATTTGTGCCATTATTATTTGACCAAAATGTACCAACAGAAGTTTCATAACGTATACAAAACTCAACTTTACTGCCATCTTTTTGATAAGGAGGAACCAATGTTATCTTAAAGGAGAACTGGTCAGTTTCACCATCACATGAATTTGGAATATATTCTGCTAATATATCATAATATGTCTGCCAGTCATCTAAGGACATTCTCACATATACTAACTTCTCAAAAGAAATATTCAAAACTCGAATAATGCCCTTCATACTTGTAGATCCAGGAGGATACTCGGTTGATTCCAGTATCGCTTTCTGTACTTGAAGTTGTTGCATAAGATCTTCTTTTGAAGAAGGCAAGCCAAATTGTGGAGATAAAACATATTCTTCTGTGTGGAAAACTTCCTTCCTTAAGTCAAAATCAATTGAACCACTCGGTAATTCCCAGGAATCAAACTCTTTAACAGACACAAGATTGAATCCAAAGGTGTCAGCAAATGAAACTCTTCTTGCACCTGATGGTGGAGAGTCCAGGTAAATGTCTTCAGATGAATCAGAACCTCGTCTGCTAGGTTGTGGGGAGAAGCCAGGTCTGAAGGTAGCTTTAACTTCTTCATCTTCAGAAAGAGAATCAGATAAACTAGGAACTTCTAAAAAGTTATCTTTGCTAATCTGACTAGGTTCTTCAGAAGGCTCCATTGGGCTCTCTGATATCAAATAAGGGAGAACTGTACAACTAGTAGAGGCTGATATTTGAGACACTGAGGCTTAAAATAAGTATAAGGTTACAGTTGACATTGCAAAAAGGAGTCAGCTCTATAAATAGGTCCGATGGCGTGTAAACTATGCTTGCTTGCCTCCAAAGGCCTTTAATATGATAGCATCCACATTAACTCTCAGCAGCATGTTTCAGATTTAACTCTTAATTTTTAAAATTGCGTGTGTTTATGAGTTCTAAAGAGACATCTTAAATCATTTTCTGCTGTGTTTGAAAATCTGAAACTTTAGAATAAAAATATTACTTTAACCTGTTGATATTAAAAATTAAAAATTGAACCATGTATTTTAAAAGAGAACAAAAATAGTATCACAATACTAAATGTGTAGTTTGAGTTCGAGCCATCCATTGAAGAAGGCAAAGGAAGGCAGGAGAGAATAAGAACATTTATAGAACTGGAAAGATCCAGTGTTTAATAATAATGATAGCCACCATTGATCATGGACTTATATATAATGTGAACTCTAAATGGTTAAATAAGGTGCTGGTAGTTCTGAGGAAAGAAACAAGATTTAGATGGAGAAGGTATCATTTGAAAGAAATCATGAAGGGTAGGTAGGACATAGACATGTAGGGTTAGAATGAGGTAGATTTTCCAGATGGAAGAAATAGTGTAAGTCAAGGTGTAAGACAAATAATTAGTCAAATCTGTTATTTTAAACATTAGCAAGTTTCTTTTAATTAAGTCACAGAAAAATATAAACAAGTAATATGTTAATGACTTGAAATATAAGTAGGCAATGATAAACCTGGTCCAGGAATAAAATATTTATGTAGAATAAAATGTTTGGCAAAATGCCATTTATGCTCACAAAGCAGAAGTTAATACCATGACATGTTGGGGTTCTCTGTGAATTTTAGAGTGTGAGCAGCCTGTTTAGACTCTCATATTTTTGTATTAATGTAAAATCTATTTTGTAGATAAACCTATAAAAATGTAAACATACATATGCTTTGACCTAGAAAATGCCCCAGCTACAAATTTGCTCTATTAGTAAGGGATAAGTCTGCAAAGATGAATGTAAATGTATGTTCATAATAGGACAGATTATTTTAGAAGCTATATAAATATCCATCAACAGGGAAATTGACAAATAATGTTACACCCATTCAATAGAATATTTTACAGTCATCAAAAAGGATAAAGCACCAACTTATGTGTTGATGTGGAAAAACAACCAAAATAACTTCAAAGTGAAGAAAAGAAAGTGTGCACAAATATGTACATAGAAAATTCCTGGAAAGACACAAAGGAAACTATTAGTAGCAGTTATCTCTAACCACAGAGGTTGAAGGTTTTAAGTGAAAAGGACTCATTCATGTCACTTTATGGTCTCTGTACTATTTGAAATATTAGCCATGACCAAGGTTTACTTTCAATGTATTTTCAACTCAAAGAATTTGTGAGAGGTGATTATTTTTTAAGAGAACTCAATAGCATACTTCCTTAAATTTAAACTTTATAAATAATTATGACTTGCTGAATAACTTGAATTGTGTACAGTAGTGAATTAAGGAATTATTTTGCAAGATTAAAAATAAGTATTGTCTAGGATAAGGAAATGAAAACTACTTTAGGCTTTATCACATAGCTAGAGTGGGTGATGACCACATGGCTTGTTCAAGAATGGAGAATTGTGGAAATGATATAATAATGTACTGAAGTAGTTTAATTATTCAAGGATGATAAGCAGAGACATGGAGATAAAACCCCTGGGTTTGTACTCTGACTGTGATACTTACTAGCTGGGTAACCTTCAGAACATTGCTTAAATTTTCTTACCCTAAGTTTCTCTGATTGCTAAAATGTAATGTTAACAATTAAATGAGATGCTTACTAAGTAAATATTTATTTAATATATTGCTAAATAAATAGCTATATATGTTTGTGAAAGGTTGATTTCTGAGATACACCGACAGTTAGATCAGCAAGTTGGGTGGATAGGATAGATAGAAATAGATAGATTGCAAAGAATCTACATATATAATAAGTAATGGTTTGTAATTTGTTTTATTTTTGTCTTTTTCAAAGGCTATATTATAGAACACTTAGCTTTAGAACATAAAATAGGTATACATTAGGAAATGGTCCTGTTTTTTTGAGTTAAAAATCTCCTTTTCTTAACTTCTCTTTCCACAGAGCACTGCACCCTAGATTTGTAGTGATCGCTGCCTATCTTTTGGAGTTTATAACCTTCGCATAATTATAGATGGTTGATATGTTCCCCTTAGTCACTGCTTAGCTAAAGCGGAGTGATTTCATCTTTTTAATCTCTTCTTATAGGTCATCCTTCAGCACTTTTTATCATTTTGTTACTCTTTTATGAATCCTTCCAGCTTGCCTATATTATTCTGGTAATGCCCCTAGATGAATGTAGTAGCACAGATCAAGTGTGTCTGGAGCATAGAGAAAGCTCTATCAATTTCAGCCTTATGATTTGGTGTTTGTATCAGTTAAAATTCACATCTCCTTACTTTTTTTCCATATCAGGCCAACATCTCATTTTCTTATATTCACTGCTACCTCAATTTTAATAATATGAATTTTGTATTTTTCCTCAATTTCTTAAGCATACTGCTTTTATCAGCTATGACTATTTATTTATTTAATCAAATTGCAGTTCAAGTTTCCATACATCTTACTTCTTTTGTCTTAACCAAAGATTTTCAAAGGTACCTTTAACATAAAAGACTGTTTCAATCAGGATCTCTATAAATAGGAAATATAGATGTCATGCACAAAATTTGATAATTCCAGGAGGGCTTATTTACAAGCATCTATTTAAAAGTGTAAATGCAGAAAATCTACAAGAGTTTGTGCACTAAACTGGGGCCATTTGCATCAGAACTGCTACAGTTTTTCAAGGAATGAGGAAAGGAGCCAAGTATCAAAACTTTAAAGCACAGAGTGTCATAAACTATTCACCAGGCTGAAGGGGATCAGTGACCTTTAGTCAAGGGACACAGTCAGCTGAAGATGAGCAGGAGTGATCCATGGGAAAAAACACACTGAATTCACTTTTATCCTTTCGTACAGTATCCTACCAGTTACCTGATGGCCAAAGGCTATGGGTACTATTACAGTTCATTCAGGTCAGTCTCCCAGAGCACAGAGCAGGATGGAAAAGGGTGAAAAAAGTGGTGTATGAATTAGGAAGAGCAAACAAAAGATAATGGAGATTAAAAGTTTTGTATTTACTTATCTTTATGAACTTATGCACTATGTTTAAGCATATGTGTGTGCGTGTATATTTTCTGAATATTCCATCTCAATGCCAACTGAGTTTCTATTACTTGATCTTCTATTATCACAGCAAAAAATAAGTTCAAGTATCTAAGATCTGTAGGCTCTGATACAGTGCAAGTCACATAAGAAATATTGATCTTATCCACAGATGATTAAAAAAGAAATAGTCTTTTTTGAGATTAATTATAATGTTGCATTTGTTTCCCTTGTTAGCATAAGTCTTTGTCTTCAACTTAAACTCAAGTAACATTTTGTCAAAAGAGAATCTGGAACAATGATTATTCACAAGTGAAAGTGAGTGAAAGTAAGGGTCACATAGTTGTTTCTGACTCTTTGTGACCCCGTGGACTATACAGTCCATGGAATTCTCCAGGCCAGAATGCTGGAGTGGATAGCACTTCCCTTCTCCAGGGGATCTTCCCAACCCAGGGACCAAACCCAGGTCTCCTGCATTGCAGGCGGATTCTTTACCAGCTGAGCCACAAGGGAAGCAGATTGATAAATAGCAAAAATCACTGTGTGAGATGCTCAAACTACATAGGTTCAGATGCACTGTCAGATCTACTGAATGATAGCTTCCAGGTTGCTGGTGCCCCACAAGTGGTTCTGGTTTACAGAATGGTCATAATGAATAATCTACCAGTTTGTTGGCCTTAGAGTCAAGGACTTAGGTTCTAGTTACAGTTGTAGCTGCTGCTGCTGCTAAGAGTTGTAGCTATCATCCCACAATTATCACATCTTTTTTTTTTTCTTGTGCGGAGGCTACAAAATACTTTTACAAAAAATGGCAAAAGTTTAGGTGAGTTATAGAGAAGCAGGACGGTAAGGCACTTAACAGTCTTCTGGGCTATCCCTTCATTTTCACATAAGAAAACTGAAATCAAGAACAATGAAGGACCCCAACATTGGTAACAGTGCTGGGACTTAAACTCAGATGTCTCTGCTTTCAGTGCAGTATTCTCCATAGCATACCATCCATATACCAACTTTTAGTTTTATAATGCATAATTAACAAATTAATCATTCTTTGAAAGATAGTCATTAAAATTCATTTGTTCTAGATTTAGTTTACTTTTTTAATCAATTAACTTTTGTGAACTTTCCTTTTTCCATTTGATGAAAGATCTCCCAAGATGTCCAAATAATTTTTCTTTGTGACAGTCTCTCAACCTTTTTTAACCCATGTTCCTTTGGTAAATATAATAACTTACACTGTTTTATTTCTCTCCCTCAGACTTTGTTATATTCCTATTTGGTAATTACTGGTCTCTGTTATAAAAATGAATTATATAATCTCTTTAGAGAAAATATGGGTATTTATTATTTTAAAGGACTGTTAAAGGGTCCTACTTCAAACATACTTTAAGGATTAAGCCATGCCCTCCTCCAGGGGATCTTTCTGACTCGGGGATCAAATCTGCATCTCTTATGTCTCCTGCATTGGCAGATGGGTTCTTCAACACTACCACCACCTGGGAAGCCTAGTGACAAGTCTATATAAAGAATAAAAATGTTATATACTATAATTGTTATTCTTGGTGATGATAATATTGCAGTATTGTTGTTCATATTGACATACCTCTATTTGACAGATAATACAACTGTGGGATTTGAGAACAGTGTCTAGAGACACACTATATATGCTTATAGCCTGCTTCTATTTATTAGCTGAGGGGCTTTAGGTAATTACTTAGCCTTC